GTGCCTTAGGCACTACATTACCAGAATTGGAATAGTCATATTAAAAGAGTATGATAACATCAGCTTCACAATCCATATAATAAATACTGTAGAAGCTGTAACTTAACTGCATTCGTCATTTTAAGACAGTAAACTTGTCTTATATTTAAATGAAATGTGTTTAGTCTAGTGTTTAGTTAAAGTGTACTTTTTTCCTTGCAAAATTAATTTATTTTGACTAAACATTATTTTCTAATGAAAATTATCATGCAATTAAAGAAACATACTTAAGAAGTTACCAAACCCACTGCTATCCAGTTGATTCCAACTCATAGCGACCCACATTGCTTTTCCAAGGCTGTAAATCTTTATGTAACTAGATTGCCGCATCTCCCTTCCACAGAGCAGCTGGTGGGTTTGAACCACTGATCTTCTCATTAGCAGCCAAATATCTTACCCACTATGCCACCAGAGTGCCTTGAAAAGTAACAAGTACTGGAAATAGTTGCAGTGAACTTGATTTTTCAAACACTTGAGACTTTGATGATATTTTCAGCCAGTTGACAGTGTCATTGATTTGTCAGGGAGAAGACCAAGCGGAGCTCTGGTAGCATAGTGGCTAAGACACTTGCCTGCTAACCAGATGGCTGGCGGTTCAAACCCACCAGCCACTCCTCGGAAGGAAGGTTGGGCAATCCTACTTCCGTAGTGATGCTGCCTTGGAAACCCAAGGAGGGGTCCCCATGAGTTGGGTTTGACTCGACGGCACATAACAACAACAACAACAAAATAAACCAGAAGCAAACTGCTGTGGAATATTTTCTTTATTATTATTTTTATTTCATATTATCTATTTATTAAAATATTGGTGTTATACTTAAGGTTTAATAAAACAAGTGCCAACAAAATAAATATTGCAATTCTAATATGATCTTTTCATTTTAAAGCTGTTTTTCAATTCAGTCTCTGGCACAAATAACATGTATGGAAAATATAGCAAACAAAATTTTTGTCTTTGTAGAATTTAACCCTGTTCTTGGTAGACTAAACACTCAGTGCAACTTTTCAAAAAGTGAAAATCCAATCAAATAGTTATCTTTTAATGAGGACTTGATTATTTTAAATCTTACGTGTTTAGTTTTAATTCTTCCCTTTACTGCCTGTTTACTCAAATAAATCAACAATTTTAATAGCACCTAGAGTTAGACACAATTTTGTGTGTATAAACTGAAGAAACATTCATGCCTTTCTTTTCTACTCAGCACAGATATTGTTTACCTTGTGCTAATTGACTTGAGGAAGCAAGAAAATCTTCACAGATGAGAAAAACTTTCTTAGATTCTAGTTGACATTACAGTTAATTTTAAGTTATAAACTATGATCTAGGACTTTCAAACTAGATCACTTTTTTCTAAAAGTATAAATTATAACATTTCTTATGTTAGAACCCAACTGCAAAATAATGATAGTTTAAGGTGGAAACATGCATATTGCTTGGGACTTAAAAATAACATCTTTTTGTTTCACTTCATTTTTCACAGAAAACCTCAAAGTCCTTTACAGAGAATAATTTTCCAAAATACTCCAATGAGATGGCTCTATATTCTTCTCTTAGTAACAGAGGCAATTGAGATAGTAACAGAGGAGGTTTTCCTATTCTCAAAGTTACATGGGTTTAAGGTCAAATTTGATCATTCAGAAAACACGGACATAGTATTGTTTCAAATACTAGATTGTTCCATCTACCTGAAAGTTTACTGACAAAGCATCAAGTCTTTCAAATATGATTTAAGGTGCTTTGAGAAAATTCTTTTTAAATATGTTACACATTTCATTAAGTACTTTATGACCTTCTTGGATGAAGTAGACTGAATCCTAATCACCCTTTCCTGTGTGACTCAGAGCCATAATTACTTATTGTACACTGTTGCAACCCAGTAATGTCATTATGGGGCAAGGAGCCATTTGCCCTTTCACCAATTGTCTTTGTGTCTGTTTTTTTAGTTTTTCAGTCTCCTCTCTTGCTGTCATTTCCCTTATTCTCAGGGTATCTGCTGACAGTAGCTTCTTAATCCTTCTCTTTTTTTAGTTTAATCTGCTGAGGGGAGCCTACCAATGAAGCTTGTTAGAATCATCTTAAGCTAAATATAAATAGATTTCAAGTGACAGTCTGTGATAGTCTCCAGTGAGTAGTGCCCAGGAATATGAGTTTGTGAACTTTGTAACATTAGTACTGTCTATTAGAAGCTTGTGTACCTTTGTTCTTAGTTTTCAGCAAAGTTCCAGATGGGTGAGGTGTTACAGTGCAAAGATTATGTATGGAATTGAGAGAAAAGCTGAGCCAATTAAATTGTTCCTATTCTTCCAGTTTTGTGACTCCTTTAATTGCAGAAAAATCAAATCCTGCACTGTATTAAAAACAAGATTCTAAGCCCATACATTTTTTCTGTTGCAAACTTAAGTTATACCTTTAATATAACAAATAGCAAGCATATGGATGATTCATTTCCTTTTAAAAGGGATTACAGATAAGACCATGAATGATTAATATGAACAACCTACCATGGCTCCAAAACAGATATGGAAATAGCAATGAAAGGTTTAGTCAACATCCATTCTAGAAGGACTTCTTTCCTCTTCCTAACAATACAGAAATTTTTCTATTTATATTCTCTTTGAGACTCAACCATGTTAATGTGCACTTTCTTCAGTGCTAGCCCTTTTCTAAGTTTTAATAAGAGCACTTGTTTAATATTTATTATACTGCAAAGGATGGTAGAGTTTACATCAAGTATGATCAGGAATAGGAACAAAGCCTAGCCTCCAACTTCCAGTGGAATATACTCAACTCAGTACCACCGAGTCGATATCAACTCGCAGCCACTCCCTTTTGGGTTTCCAAGAAGGTAAATCTTTACAGAAGTGAATTGCTCCATCTCCCTTCTGCCGAGCAGCAGGTGGGTTTGAACTGCCAACCTTCTTGTTAGCAGTCAAATGCCTTAGGTACTGTCCCACCAGAGCTTCTTAATGGAATAGACATAGCCTTTTAAATGTAAAGTGTGATAGACACTTCACTTATGGAACCAAACCCACTGCCAGTGAGTCAATTCCAACTTATAGTGACCATGTGGGTTAGGGTAGAACTGCCCCATAGGGTTTCCAACACTGAGTCTCTACAGTAGCAGGCTGCCTCATCTTTCTCCCAGGGAGTGGCTGATGGGTTTGAACCAACAACCTTTCGGTTTAGCAGCCAAATGCTTTAACCACTACATCACCAAAGTTCCTTACTTGTTGTTGTTGTTGTGTGCCATCAAGTCAGACCTGACTCATAGCGACCCCTCCTTGGGTTTCCGAGGTGATATCACTACAGAAGTAGGTTGCCTAACCTTCCTTCCGAGGAGTAGCTGGTGGGTTTGAACTGCCAGCCTTCTGGTTAGCAGTCCATTAACCTTCAATTGCTTATTATTTCAGTTTATCTGAAAATTACCCTTTGTTTTTTTTTTTAAATGTAATTAAAACATTTTCTTAGAACTAGTTTGCTCTAAGCTTTACATGTGTTGAAAATCACTCCTTGGAGGTTTATCACTGACACCCACACTGCCATCAATAAGGACACAAAGTGGATTGACTGTCGGGGTTAGGAACCAAGACCCTGTAGTCACTCTGCTGGTTGGTCACTGGCTTTTACTTGCTTTTCCCTTGGGAGCAGTTTTGCAATGATTTTTCCAATGAAAAGTTTTATTGAACGGTACCCATGCAAAATATCTGTTGGAATGTATTCTATCATTTAAAAAAATAAATAACTAAATAAAATGGTACCATTCTTGGATTAATATATTTTTTCTAAAATATTGAAACAAATCAAGTTTAGACTGGCAAGTGAATGAATGTCAACATGAGAAGAGCATTTACTTCCTTCAAAATTGATGTAGGTATACATGTGAATGTTTTTATGCTGTATAAATTCTTTGATATGTTATATTAGATGCAGGTATGATTTAATATAACTTCACAAAGAAAATAATTCAAAACACAGACTGAATTATTTTCTTTTTTCCTGTGATTTTTTTCTTTTAAAATCCAAACACCAATCTTTTTCAAACATCTATATTTCTCAAAATTTATTTCAATTTACATTTCCATACAGTTTGGTAACAGTTATTTCTAGATTGCTATCATTCTACTCCAGAGGGGCCTCTTTAGATTGACTCATGGTTGTAGAGCAGGTTTCCACATATTTCTCCATTCTGACATGATTCACAAACTTTAAACATTGAAAATAGGCAATTCTTATTCCTTCTATATTCTCCCTGCCAATTTCCCTTTAGTTTCGTTCTCCTTTCCTGATGACTAGTTGAAGGCAGGTGTTCTTGAAGCAAAATCATGAATTATTTGGTCTTGGTAAGGACCATTCAGGGAGCTCTGGTGGTGTAATGCCTAAGGCATTTGACTGCTAACCAGAAGGCTGGAGGTTAAAACCCCCCAGCCACTCCTCAGAAGGAAGACTGGGCAATCTACTTCCATAGTGATACTGCCTCCGAAACTCAAGGAGGGGTCACTATGAGTTGGATCCAACTTGATGGCAGTGAGTTTGGTTTGTTTTGGTTTTAAGGACCATTCAACTTTATTTTTTTTCCAGACTGCCTGTCCCCTTTTTTACAATCAATTCACTACCATAACTGTACCATCAGTCACATCAGGGATTGAGCAAAAAAAATGTGGGTAGGATAACACCAATTTTTCTCCAGCCCTGAACAAACAATACTGTTCATAGTGTTGACTCTACACAAGAAATGTTGCACCTTCATTGAATTTCCTATTACAGTATGAAAGTTGATTTGTCAAACAGGACTATGAGTCCTCAGTGAGAATATGGGATTTCTCTTGTATAGGCTCAAGGCACTGAGCCTATACAAACAGAAAGCTGAAAATTGATTTATTTAAGGCTACAGTAAAGGAGCCCAAGGTAAAAATTCTTACTTAGTTTAAAAGTATCAATATGTTGTTTTTTTATCTTCTAGGAACCAAAGAGGTTGTTGTAAGTGTGGATGATGATGGCATCATTTCTTTGAACTTTGAATGTGATCAGATGTCTCCAAATTCTGAGTTCACCTGGTCCAAGGATTATGTGCCCACTGAGGACTCTCCACGGTTAGAAGTTGAAAGCAAAGGCAACAAGTAAGAATGCTTCAATGGTAATAATGGGTCTCCTTTTCAGCACAGTAGCATGAAGTAAGCTCTTTGCTTTCAATTTTAATTACTTGGAATAAGGAATGAAGCTGCAAATATCTTATATCTTGTATTGTGAAAAGTCATAATGAATATAAACCTTAAACATAACAATCCTCACAGTAGTTTCTTTAAAGTGCTTTCTCATATGATATCTCATTTATGATGTTAGAAAAGCTTTGCTTAGTATAAAATTCCACTTTAAAGATGATTGTCATTAATTCCGAGAAATTTTGGAACCTTAATGTCTTGATGAGGACGCTTATGGGGTGTTGTGGTGAAGAGCTTGCCACTTGCTTCAAGATATGGTAAATTAAATGGATTAATAATAATCTCATGTGCTCTATTCACCATGATTTATGAACAAAAATAACTCGGTAATGAGGAGCACATAGTAGACAAGTAACCATTCCATCTCCGCCAGTGTTACCATGGCAAGCTATTTAACTTCTGTGCGCCTCAGATTTCTTTACTTGTAAAATGGAGGAGGGGAGAGGGAATTGATTTATTGACCTATCACTTCTTTTCAGCTCTAAGATTCTTAGTTTTCTTTTTATTTCATCTTACTTCGTATTCTTATAGTGCCAACCTTATTGAATTGAACTCACTACAGCAAAGTATTTAAAGTAGTTTTTCCATTACAATGAAACCCAAAACACCTCAGAAATTAAAGAAAGAAATAGCAATTTAGCTGGAGAACGGCAAGAAACTACTGAATATAATTGAAAGATATTTTTCTGTCACTCTGCTTTAAGCTCTTGAACTAAAACATAATTTGGTCAAAAAAAAAAAAAAGACAATTAAACTATAAATATTTCTTCCAGTGTTTCCTTTGGCTGGCAATATGATTCACCAAAGTTAGAAAACACAATGCTACTAGACCATGGATCCGCTCATTCATTTATTCATTCCATGCATATTTATTAACCATATATTGTGTTCCAGACAAGGTATTGGGTTTTGGGAATACAACAGTAAACAAAACAGTTCCTGCCCCTGCAGGCACAGAGATTATATAGTTAGAGGATATAGATAATGAAACAGGCAGTACCAACCAATATAATCAATTCAGAAAAGGGGAGCACATGATGATACAGGAGAGGCACCCTGCATTACCAACAGCAGGTTCTGCCCCATGGGGGAACAAATTCAGGCTCCCCAGCAAGGACTAATCAGCTATGCTTCTTTATGCCATATCTGTATTGATATACAGTAGCCTTTAGCCCAGCAAGGAGGATAGGAACAGTGTTCCAAACACAGGAAATAGCATGCACAAATTCCATCCTACCTACAGACAGGGCAGAGAATATAGATCCAGTGACCCCATGCAACTTCATTTCTAAAAAAATTATTCTGTTCTGAAGGACAAAAATGACCTTTAAGGAACTTGGGATGGAAGACTTGGGAATTTATTCCTGTGATGTATCAGATACTGATGGAATAGCTTCAAGCTACTTAATAGATGAAGAAGGTAAGTTACAATAAATTCATTAATAAGTCTAATGCTGTTTTAATTTCTCAAGTATTCTCCAAGATAAAGTGAATTTTTTCTTATTAATTTAAGGTTAAATATTCTCTTTTTCTTTCTACAGAATTGACACGTCTACTTGCTCTCAGCCATGAACACAAATTCCCAAGTAAGTGTCCAAAATGTATTCACAGGACTTAGCAATTTTAGTAGGTCTGGGATAGGTCAGGTAACAATCTGACAGGATGGAGAACAGAGGCTCTTGAGAACATAAAATGGAACACACATTTGTGGTTATGCTTTCTAAAATTGCTGCTTCTTATTGCTTTGCCATTTGTTCTTCAGAAATACAAATGATCCAAACAGAGAAAATATATCTCACGCTCTGTCACATAGAAAAGTGTCAGGCAACATAGGTGTAACATCTGAGTAATTTAAGTCCTTCATGTTTTACCAATATATTTTGGAATCACATGCATATCTTCTGGGAATAGTCACTCACTGTACCATGTGGACCTTGCTGATGGAATACTTAGGAATCAAGTGGACAACATCAGTGGAACGAGATGATGGAGAAGTTCAAGATCACCAGTCAGAGCAAGCCAAGGGGATGACTACAGAGCAGACCATCAATTACCCCTACGCAAGTTCAAGCTGAACCCGAAGAAAATTAAAACAAGTCCATGAAAGCCAAAGTATGGCCTTGAGTATATCCCACCTAAATTTAGAGACTATCTCAAGAATAGATTTGATGCATTGAACACTGATGACTGAAGACCAGACAAGTTGTGGGATGACATCAAGGACATCATAGATGAGGAAAGCAAAAGGTCATTAAAAAGACAGGAAAGAAATAAAGACTCTGGTGGCATAGTGCCTAAGGTATTTGACTGCTAACCAGAAAGCTAGTGGTTCAAACCCACCAGCCACTCCTCGGAATGAAGGTCGAGCAATGTACTACCATAGTGATACTGCCTCAGAAACCCAAGGAGGGGTTGCTATGAGTTGGATCCAACTTAATGGCAGTGAGTTTTTTGTTTTTGTTTTTGTTTTTTTTTTGGAAGTGAAGATGGTGAGAGTTTGTCTCATGTACTTTGTACACGTTATCATGAGGGAGCCATCCCTGGAAAAGACATCATGCTTGGTAGAGGGTCAGGAAAAAAGAGGAAGACTCTCAATTAGATCAGTTGACATGGTGGCCACAACAATGAGCTCAAACATAGCAATGATTGTGAGGATGATGCAGGACAGGGCACCGTTTTTGTTCTATTGTACACAGAGTCACTGAGTCAGAACCAACTGAATGGCATCTAAGCAACTACTCTCTTCCTAAGTAATTTAATGTTGGTACTTAATGGAAGAGTCATATCTCTAAATGAAAACAATATAAAGACACTAGCTTCATTTGAAACTCTCGGAAAATAAGGTAAAGATGCCTCAGTCAGAAAAAGAATCCCTCTGAACTTTCCTGCAAACCCTTTAATTAAGCACCTTCAACATAAAATATTAAATTTTACAGTTGACACCTAAGAGAACACAAAGAAGTCTGAAATGACACCTTGAAGTTTCCATCAATCTGATAGGATCTCTTGCCTTTAGTGCCTATTGGCCAAAGTAGTGAAGTATACAGAAAGTTACACCTGAGAGCTTGAGAAAACAAATAGAGAATGACAGCATACATTCATTCTTATAAAGTTGGATTTTTTTTTCACTCTATAATACCTAAAATATACTACTACTAATAGAGGAGTTTCATAAATCTAGAAACTATATACCTACCCCAGATTGTACACAAAAGTTTGTGCATTTGTATGTGTATATTTTTCTAGGGTGAGTATTCATCACTTTAACTAAATTCTCAATGGAGACTGTGATTGAAAAACAAACAAAAACACTGCCCTAGAACCAATTGCCTAACTTCTCTTGAATTTCCAAGAAATGATGTTTTTGATCATGAGACAGAGTGCTGTTGAATGTTGGTCTCAGCTGTAATGCTCTCTAATGGACTTTGTTTTAGAATAGAGTGGCAATGTTGTTTGCACATAGGATTCAGCGTTCTGAATTCTAGGGGAGAACCTGCTCTCTAGCATCAGGCAAGTCATTTCTTGCCTGTGTGTTTATTCACCATAAAATTGGCAAAGTGATGTCATGAATGGTGTTTTTTAAGTTGATTTTTCAAATCGTGTGGAAGATAAACATTTGGCCTAGACTCACTTTTTGCTGTACTTTTGATTCACTGTTTGAACCTGGGCAACTCATTTCAATTTCCCTGGACTTTGCTTTCTTTTTCAGGCACTGAAAAAGGAATAGCTATAGTAATATTGTTGTTGTTGTTGTTGTTTGCCGTCGAGTCGGCCCCGACTCATAGTGACCCCTCCTTGGGTTTCCGAGGCAGTATCACTACGGAAGTAGGATTGCCCAACCTTCCTTCCGAGGAGTGGCAGGTGGGTTTGAACCACCACAGAAAAAAAATTTGCCATAGAGTCAATTCCAACTTATTGTGACACCATGTAGAAAGTAGAACTGTGCTCCGTAAAGTTTTTTGTTTTTTGTTTGGTTCTACCTTTTTTTTTCTTAGTTTTGTGTGTGTGTGTGTGTGTGTGTGCAAATATACATGTAACCATACACCAATTCAACAATTTCTACATGTACAATTCAGTGACATCGATTGCATTCTTCAAGTTGTACAACCATTTTTGCTATCCATTTCCAAATATTTCACCAGCATTAAGATAGTCTCACTTCCCCTAAACTTTTCATCTAAACTTTCATATTGCTATGGTCAATTTTATCCCATATAAATAGTTTTTAAAAAAACACAATGCTTAAGGCAGACTTTTAAAATTTGGTTTAAAGAAGACTTCAAGGGATAGTTTGGTTTAAGGTTTAAAGGGCAGTAGTTTCAGGGGTCATCCAGCCTCAATGTCTCCAGAAAGTGTAGATTCCATAAGAATTTGAGATTCTGTTCCACATATTTCCCACTTTTGATCAAATTTTTTTCATAGAATCTTTGACCAAACATTCATTAATGTAGCCAGGCCCCATACAGTTCTGGTCTCATGGCAAAGGAGGCAGTTGTTCATAGATGCAATTATTCGTATAACCCAGTTTCTCCTCCAGTTCTTGCCTCTTCTTCTTCCTCTGTTGTTCAGACACATAGAGACCATCTGTCACACCCTAGGGCCTCTCAGAAGCTTGTGAGATGCCAGGCACCATGCGATGAACTAGGAGGTAGAATCAAAACACTTAAAACATTAGGCCAATTGACTGGGATGTCTCATTAAACCATGCCCATAAATCTCCCAACTAGGAAAGCAAATCCCATGAGGTATTTCATCGTCCACAAGGCTCAACAGGGTTTTCACTGGCTGAATTTTCAGAAGCAGATCACCAAACTCTTCTTTTAAGGCACCCCTTGCTAGACTCAAACTTTCAACCTTTTGTTTAGCAGCCGAGAATATCAACCATTGCACCCCTGAGGAACTCCATATTAGTTTATAGTAACTACCAAATGGAAACTCTGTAAGAGTTGATCTTTGTTGTCAGTTGATCCTTGATTTCTTTAGGTTAAAAAAAAAAAAAAAACATTAATTTAAACTGAACACTGATCCTAAAAGACCTCACTAGCAATGGAAGATCTGTGTCTGAGCCCAAGAGGCTATTCTTTTCTCTTTATCTTCATAGGGCTATGAGGCAGAGAGTGGCAGAAAGGGTCAGAGCCTGAAAAGAGAGGCAGACCACAGTAATGTTTCCACCATCTACTCTTAAACATGGGAGTTCTGGTAGCATAGTGCCTAAGGCATATGACTGCTAACCACAAGGCTGGCGGTTCAAACCCACCAGCCACTCCACGGAAGGAAGGTTGGGCAATGTACTTCCGTAATGATATCACCTCAGAAACCCAAGGAGGGGTGGCTATTTCTAAACAGCAGAAATGGAGAGAGACAGCAGCACTTGTTAATTTAGTTAATCAGGCAATAAACACTGATTAAATGTCTCTGCAACAACTTGTCCAAACATTTACATTTAGCTGTAAGGATGCAGATGAGGAAAGATGGAGAGTTGGTGCAGAGACAAGACACCTTAATCTCCAGGAGTCCAGTGGCCATATGGACTTAGAGGTGGAGTTAATTAAGACATTAGCGATTTCCTGGTGTCACTGTCATTTACTCTGAAATACTTAATTTTGCATAAGCATAAGGACTATAATTATTGGTTCTAGGAGGGAGGGAGCAACAAACTCAGGTATCCTTTGATTAGAGGCCAGCATGGTATTTTGGTAGAAACACACAGAAAGAACCCAAGAGTGTAACTACAGTTCTGAATGCAAATATCAACTCTCCAAACCCAAAGCAGTTTTTCTTAGACCATTGAAGCAGCATTTTAAATATTGCAGCTCCAGCTCCTCACCACTCCAGCTACTATCAGATTAACCAGGTCAATTCAGGAATATTTTTAGAGAGATGATGATAGAGGGTCAAAGCAGCATGTCTAATTTCTCAAGAGTACATTTTTTCTTAGTAAATGTTGATACATGTTAAGTCATTTTCTTCAGATTCTGTAAGGTTCTACATTGGTCCTTTTTCTTACAAGATGAAAAAAAAAACACTTTTAACCTTTTGCACAATAAATTCTCCTATTTTAAGTTGTTTTCAAAAATATTTTGAAAACCACTAAACATATGCTTTAAATCTACAAATAGCAGATATTTTGCTGGAGCAAATTAACAGGCAGAGGAGAAAACCTAAGGAAGGTGAGAGCTGAGAGAAAGGGAAAAAATAAAAATACATAAAACTTAAAACAGAAAATAGCCTAGTCTGTTTTACCAGCATTTGCAGTGTGAAGAGGAAACTTACTTGAATACACACACACACACACACACACACATACATACATATATATCAGAAATTCAAGGTTTGGTTTTTGGGGGGGATATATTTAAGTATAATCAACTCCCTGCAAAATATCTCTTTATTTGTAGACATTAGTTATTATCCCACTTGTATACATACATACAACAACAACAACAACAACATACATACATACACATAAATGCCAATATATTATTTTACAACCAAGGGTCGTAAGGTGTTGCCGAAGCAAAAATGGAAGAGGAAAGAGGTACCAAAACATTAATGGTCAACATTTAAAGAGCATTCATTATATGCCAGGCTCTTTGTGTTGTTGTTTGCCTTCGAGTCGGCCCCGACTCATAGCGACCCCTCCTTGGGTTTCCGAGGCAGTATCACTACGAAGTAGGATTGCCCAACCTTCCTTCTGAGGAGTGGCTGGTGGGTTTGAACCACCAGCCTTCTGGTGAGCAGTCAAGTGCCTTAGGCACTATGCTACCAGCGCTCCTAGGCTCTTTGTAGGGTCCTTAAACGAGGTATATTATTTAAACTCCACAATGACCTCAAAAAGTCAGTACTATGGCACAGAGAGGTTGATTGGCTAGACCAGATCCACACAACTGGTACATGGGGTTAAACCCAGGTGGTCTGATCCTAGAGACTGTTCCTTTAACACATAAGGCTTTCTCTGTATGTGCCTAACATATCGGCCATCTATGGTGATTCTTGGTGGCCAGCATTCCCTAGACAATGTTTTTATTGATCAGAGAAGACATTGAACAATAAAATAAGGGAGGCAGAAGCTTCCAGGGGCCCTCCCTCTCCCTACCCACTGACACTCTGGACCTCTCTTCTAGGCCAAGGGCCCCCACAGTCTACAAGGTAATCCTATCACTCATATATTAGATTCCCCAGAATGGGATCTCAAACTTTTCTAGAAGAGATTTTATTTTCCACTTCCTTCAAGATTTATTTGTAGCAAGCATGAGCAGCTTATACAGAGAAAACTCAGCCTCCACTCTCCTCACACAGGGATCTGGTCATCCTCCACTTTCCTCAGACACTATATTTACAGTGGAAAACTATCAGTGTTCCTCAGAGTGGGTGCAACTGCAGATCAGAAGGAATGCAGAATGGAGGAAATTGCCCTAGACTTAAGGGAGGAGGTTGTAATTCTCCTCTCATCTCTGCTGCTAAAACTTCTTGGGTTTCAGTGTTCTCATCAGTGAAGTTTGGGCAGAAAGTGTACCAACCTTCCTTGAGCACTGGTCCTCAGTTGCAGTATCTTAAGTTATTCTCTTACCATATTTACTCTTCTTAATAGCCTGGTAGCATAGTGCCTAAGGCACTTGTCTGCTAACCAGAAGGCTGGCGGTTCAAACCCACCAGCCACTCCTCGGAAGGAAGGTTGGGCAATCCTACTTCCATAGTGATACTGCCTCAGAAACCCAAGAGGGGTCGCTATGAGTCGGGGCCAACTCGATGGCAAATAACAACAACAACAACAACAGCCTTGTGAGGCAGAAAATATCCACTCAGGCAGGTGAAGAAAACAAGGCTTAAGGGAGAGAGTAGCTGTTCAAGATCATGAGATGACTCCTAAAGCCCATCTCAGTAGATGATACCAAAGCTTCCTTTCATTTCAAAATTGGATGAATATATAACTAAATTTTATAATGAAGATAGAATAATGCATATGAAAAGCATCCCTTGAAACTTGAAAAAGGTCATTTTAGGATAAATACCAAGATGTATTCATTTACATTTGGTACAAGTTTGGGAGACTTGTAACTTAAAATGCACCACATGCTAAAATTCTGAGACAAGTTTAAGAAGCATTTAGAGAAAGTAAAAGGTGATGCTTCCCCTGAAGGGAGCTAAAAACAACTAAACTTTGAAAAACAACCATGTTTTTCCACAAAGTACGTCCTGAAGCCACCTTTAGGTGAATGAGCCATTCTAGAGAATGTTTTCTAGTTACAAAATTTTGCAAAACAGGTTTTGAGAGATATCAGCCAAGTTAATAATTTTCACTTGGAATCAAATGGCTTAAGTGATACAGTTATAAATCTGAGATACCAAATGGCTGTTTTACCCTCTATGTAAAACATGCCATGCTATATTTTAAATTAACTTCTCAATAGTGACTCACTTATTTGCCTCTAAAAATCTTGCGTGGTCTTAGAAATAAAATGAACTAATGTAACTTTGGTATGGATAGGATTTAAATATAGTCAAAATTAATCCTTTTTAAAAATTCATGTTAAAAACATTTAAAAGTACTCCCAAAGTGAGTTAAATTATTGAATAAAATAAAATTTCACTCCTTTCCAAATGTTTTCAGGTAATCAAGATAGTGAATGACAGAATGTTGGAGCTGGACAACATCTTGGCTAATTAGGATATTTACAGGATTATATTCTTTATAGACAAGTCAGGTGAGGCCCAGAGTTACAAAGTGACATACCTAATGTTACACAGTTTATTGCTAGAATTCGGGCTTGTCTTCAACTCTTCTGGGGCCAGGCCAGACTCTGCCCCTCATTAAACCTAACCAATGACCACAGCAAACAGTCACAGATGTTAGTTAGAAAGGGCCCAAGAAGTTGAGTTCATCTTCCTCAATGATATAGTTGGGGCAGCTCAGAGGTGGTGAGAATCTTACCCAAAGTGACAGTCCCAAGATTAGAACTCAGGTCTTGTGTGCCTTTCTCTGAGGCTGTCCCTACAATGCTCTCCCTGCCTCCAGGTTTATGCTAGAAGCTAAGTGCTACATCTCCATTTTTGTTGATTATTTTTTACTTGTAGAACATAAATGCTTAAAAGGCAAGCCATATTTTTTACTAGTAAACAATTTGTTATAATATAATTACTATTTCTGTTTTTATTTTTCATAGCTGTTCCAGTTAAATCAGAACTGGCAGTTGAAATTTTGGATAAGGGGCAGGTCCGGTTTTGGATGCAGGCTGAGAAGCTGTCTCCCAATGCCAAAGTCAACTTCATATTTAACGACAATGAAATTTCTGAGGGGCCGGTAAGTTTTACACCTTTCAGATTTTAAAGTGTATTGTTGTAGAATACCTGTGGAAAGCCCTGTTAGAATACAGGTAAGTTGTGAAAATCACTGGGTGGCAGAGTGGTGAAATTTAAATCATTTCCTCAGGTCAAAAATGTGGAGGGAAAATATAGATTGACTTTATCTTATTATCCAAACGGGAGTTCTGGTGGCATAGTGCCTAAGACATTTGACTGCTAACCAGAAGGCTACCAGTTCAAACCCACCAGCCACTTCTCAGAAGGAAGGTTGGGCAATGTACTTCCGTAGTGCTATCACCTTGGAAACCCAAGGAGGGGTCTCTATGAGTCAGATCCGACTCGCCGGCAGTGCATTTGGTTTGGTTTGGTTATTGTCCAAACTAAGACACTTTGGGGAGTGAACCCAAACCCACTGCCACTGAGTTGATTCCAACTCATAGCATCCCGCATAGGGTTTACAGGACTGTATATCTTTATGGAAGTGGACTGCCTGGTCTTTCTCCCATGGAACAGCTAGTGGGTTCAAACCACTGATCCTTTGGTTTAACCACAGCACCACCAGAGCTCCTTTAGGAGTGAAATGGGGTGCTAATAAGAATTTTACCAAGTCCAGAGTCCTAAACCAAAATTATGTCAGGTACCTATGAAAATAGAGCTGCTCACCTGAGAAGCCAAAGGAGCCAATACCCCTTCCCTGAAGTAGCATAACCCCAGCAAAGGTGTGATACTTTGCATTGAGGAAATGACCTCTTTCCTTTCAGTAGTTCAAAAAAGGCAATAAAAAAATTCTTGTATTGCATTTCTGGTTAAATACGCAATGTATGCTTACTGTAAAAAAAAATTCTTAAAATTTTTTTATATACATGTCAGTATATACTTTTTGGTCTTTTTTTCCTACATTTCTGTGTCCACATGTCTGTTTTTCCATAGGTGAATATATGTATGTACATATATACATACATACCTGCATTTTATATTTTAGCAGCAGAACTTGGACTTTTATACTTGTACTATTTTTCTTTGCATTTAACATAAACAGATTTTATGGATAGTGTTAGAACCTGTGAGCTATATTTTTCCTCTCCACAAGCATCATACCAGCACCCAGTGGTGCAGAAGCACTTCACTTCAGATGCGCTGGTGCTCGTGAGGGATCACACTATCACAGCTATAGATGGGAAACCGAAAGAGGGACAAGGAGATGTGGCTTGTGGTAATTATTAGCAACCCATTGAGATATATGTTTAAAACATTTGAGGATTCACTAGTGAGGGAGAAAATGATTTACGTAAATAGCAGAAGCATGTGCAGTGTGTATATTCCTTTTCAGTTCATAGGGTAACTTGTATCTAGAGCCAGCATAAGTCCACTGTAGCCAATATCCTTTCTATTTTCAAAAATGTTCTCGTCTGCTACTATGATCACCATCTGACCAACAGAAAAGGAAAGGCATTGTTGGCAGTGCTTTCTGACACCACAGCCATTGAGTGGACACTCATGCATGTGTGTTTGTGAATATGCTCCTCTTCATGTGTCCGTGTGTGCACACAGAGACACACATACAACATGCAATGTACTTAAAGAGCTGCTTGTCTTAGCAATTGCTTCTAACCACTCTATATTATTAGTTGAAAATTCCTGTCTTACACTATTAAGTGCTTAAAGGGCAAGCCAATGAGTGGGAAAAAGTGTCTGCAACAGATACATCTGATGAAAGACTCGGAATGTGTAGAGAATTGTAACAAATCAATAAGAAAAAGGAATGTAAGCTAATAGAAAAATAGATATTTCACAAAAGAGATTATCCAAATGGTCAGTAATCATAAGAAAAGGTGTTTGACTTCTTTAGTCCTCAAAGGAAGACAATGACTATGTGATATCACTACACAACCACCAGAATGGCTAACATGAAAAAGAGACAGATTCAAGGCTTGACAATAATATGGAGCAACCAGAACTCTCAAATACTGCTTGTGGGAGTGTAAGCTGATAGCCACAGTATTCATAATAACCCCAAATAGGAACAGCCCACATATGCATCAACAATAGAATGAATAAATAAATCATCATATATTCACACAACACCATACAGCAATGAAAATAATTTACAACAACATGATTAGACCTCATAAACATAATGTTTGAGTGTAAGAAGCCAGGAACAAAACAGAACATACTCTCTGATTCCATTTAGACAAATTGTTGTAAAACTTTGGTATTTGAAATTAAGATAGTGGTTATCCTTGAGGGCAAGGTAATTACTGGAAGGGGCCATGATGGGGATTTTGGGGTGTTTCTTGATAACAGTACTGGCAACATGGATTTAGTTTGAAAATTCACTGATCTGAATGTCCATTTTTCTGTATGTATATTGTACTTCCCCAAAAAGTTTCCATTAAAAAATAAATATAGTTACTTGAATCATGAAAAAAAAGAAGAAGAGAGAAAAGACAAGTCCTGTCTTAGGTCAGGTTCCCCAAAAAGAGAGTCTGAAATAGAGATTCTCATTTGAGTGATAAACTGGCGCAGTGCTCCTAGGAGAAGGGCGTGAGGAAAGCAGGGTGGGGTGGCGAAGCTAAGAAATGTGGTGTGAAAATGGCATGGAGGCAACGTCATCTTACCTCTAACTTCTCAAGGGGGAGAGAGAATCATTATCAGCATCAACTGCCCAAGGCTCATTTCTATGAGGTGGAGATCAGACATACACATTGCCTCTCTCCAATTTTTTTTTTACCAATTCTGATACTTACCAATCACTCCCATGGGACTCTACTTTTCCACTGGGTTTGATAACTTGTTGCTACGTCACACAGAACTCACAGATACTTACTGTTATGGGGTTTAATAGGTAAGTAACAGGTTATAATTCAGGTTCAGGAAAGACTCAGGATACAATTCTTCAGTCAGGACAGCTTCTTGTCAGCTGTGCCCACAGGCACACTTCTCTCTGGCCCTTGGCCTCTGCTCTACTCAGGTATGTGTTACAAAGTTCTTTAGCTCTGCCAATAAGTGCCTGGATGTACCCCACTCCACCCGCAAGCCTCCTGCCCAAAGGCACTCGGATTTCTTGTTCCATGGGCCAAGAAGCCCACCATACTATCTCCTGCCTGTCTCCTGGTTCTGCTGCCTCAGCTGCTGCCATTTCTCTGCTGTTGCTTCTCACTGTCTCTGGTGTTACACCTCTGTCTCCTTGGTCTAAGAGCAGCTCACGCATCCTAGGTCCAAAGGACATGCTCTACTCCCAGCTCTTCTTTCTTGATGGTTGTGAGGTCCCCTTTCCTCCTATGGGATGGTTCATTTTAAGTCTAGTGGTATGATAAAACTGACCAATCCCCTCATTAGGATTCTATAACCTTATTTGCATGATCCCACCCCCACAAGTGTGCCATGCACTTTATTAACATTATTAGCAAGCTATCCACTCCCCTTGGTGGTCTATAAACACCTCATGTGCATAGGGCCACTCAATCATTTGGTGCAAGTTACAAAGACCTGTAGTTAGAAGGGTCATATTAAGTAATTCACTGCATCACAGGCCACCCCCTGGCTCTTCTGGCCATTGGTCATTTCATACTTGAAGGATTAACTTCCTCCTCTCATTCATTTTACCGGTCCAAAATAACAATTAGCAATTAGTTCTTCAGTGGGGCAAAGAGTGCTAAAGCTGAGGTTACTCAGATCCCAAACCGTTCAAGTCTGCGGTAGGTGACTCCAGCTCATCTAGTTGGGTTCTTCAAAAGTTGTCTCATCGTCACCCTTTCTGGCCTCACTGAGAGAAGATCATTCTGTTGCTCTGAGTCTCACAAGGTTTCAGCATAGCAAAACCCTTAAGGGACTTTCCATTTAGTCACTGTACTCCAGTCCAGCAGTACCTCCCCACCTTAATCCACTTTTTCACAGTTACTGCTTCTGCAATTACAGGTGTTACAATCACAATTAACCCTTTAAAAACCATTACTCACAGCTGAATTATAGAATCCTATCAGCATCTTCTCCCACCCTCTCTTCCCCAGACCCATCAGGAAAAGAGGAAACTATTCAGCGGGGATTCTCCATTGTCCGGCTAATTTTGAGACGAAGCACACCCATGGAAGTGTATAAGCCAGGCACTTCATGCCTTTATCCCCTCCCATTTTAGGTGAACCAAAACCAAACTCACTGCCATCCAGTTAATTATGACTCATAGCGACCCCCATTGGATTTCTGAGGCTGCAAATCTTTATGGAAGTAGAGCATCCTATATTCCTTCCACAGAGCAGCTGGTGGGTTTGAACCACTGACCTTCTGATTAGCAGTCCAATGCCTTTTCCACTACACCACCAGAGCTCCTTCCCCATTATAGATAGCCAGTGTTTAAATTGTTCATCCCTATAAAACCAATACTCTTAGAAGACAAGCATGTGCCTTAATATGAAGAATCTTTTCTTCCTGTTGGAACTTTTGAGCATCTGCATCCAAAGCAATGTCCAGTACAGAGCAAGCCATCAAACTGCACAATCTACACCAGCTCATGTGTCAAACACCTTTCTCTTCATTTAGTTGGATTCTTCTCAGCTCATGCCTAGCTCTTATGGGCTAGGTCAGTGGGTACCAGCCACAGGCTAGTAATCCACACAACTCCTTGCACTTCACACTACTCAGCTCTTTCTCTCTCTGTTTCATCTGTAGCCCCTAGCCTCCATGGGCTAGGTCAGTAAGTGCCAATGGAACATGTCCAAACTCAGCCCAGCTCTTCATTGCTGCACCTCCCCCACTTCCATTCATCAAGTAGACCCATGTGGTCATCACAATCAAGCATAACAGGCTGTCTACTTGCTGGCTCCCTTTAACTTTCAGATCTGGAAGGAGGTTCTTCTGAGGGGCATTGACTTTTCCTGACTCTGTGTATCCAAAGGCAAACCACTTACTTGAAATTCAAAAGTAAAACAGTCATTTTTTTCCTATGGAAAAAAAATGCACATTTCTTCCTCTCCCAGCAGTTTTGGGTAGGTCTATGTGTCTTTTCAAGTATAAATTTCCTAAATGGGGCTCAAGTTTTCAACCTAAGCCCCCAGTACTCTCTATAGAGAGCTACTGCATTCAAACCAACAGCTTGTGTTTCTTTTGGGCAAATCCTAGCTCCCCTTTCAGCATGTCCAATCAAGTATTGGCTGAAGGCAGAGTTACATGTTCTCTGTTATCTATAATACTCAATATTCATTTCTATCATACAGTTAGGTCTATAGTACAATACTCAGTAGGCAAAACATTCAAAATTCATAGTACATTCAAATAAACACATAACTCTTTTAAAAATATTTCTTTCGTTCATCTCTTCTCTACATCCTGACTATATTCCCATTCATATGCATATGGCCTTGGGCCTCTTGTTAGGTGGAACCAGAAGACTCTGGCTCCCTGTCAATCATCTTGCTTTTTCAGCCTGGCTTTTGCCCCAAGCTACTTCAGAAGCCACATTTCTATCCTCCACTTCCCTATCTGTTGCTCCAGCAAAACATCTCTTACTTTCTTTTCAGCCATTGCCAACAATAACCAAAGCAACTATCTAAGAATCAAAAGTTTCTCTTCCTATACCCCTTCATTCTTTCTCTTACAAAGTCTCATGCTTCTGTGAGTCTCAAGCCATTTCAAGGAATCCCATTTCTGTTGTAAAAATGTATGGTGGTGGTGTCATCTGACCTCTTCTAACTTCACAAGGAGGAAGGAGGATACTTACCAAACGAACCACCCAAGTCTGATTTCTGTGAGGTGGAAGTCAGACATATCTCCTTTCTCCAAACTTTTTCCCAATTCTAACACCAAACATGGCATGCTCTACTTCTCTGCTAAATTCAATAATCCATTGCAATGGCCACACAGAACTCACAGACACAACTCACGATAATAGGGCTTCTTAGAGAAGTAACAGGATCAGAAATGACTCAGGATACAGTTCTTCAGTCAGGACAGCTTCTTCTCAGCTGTGCCTGAAGGCACGCCTCTCTCTGGCCCTCGGCCTTTTGGTCCTGTGGCCCCTGTGCCTCTGCTCTGCTCAGGCAAGTGTTTTAAAGCATTTTATCTCCACCAATAAGCACCCAGAGGCACCCTACTCCACCAGCAAGTTTTCTACGTGAAGGTTCTCAGCTCTCTCCCTCCTTGGGTCAGTGAGTCTAGTTCTGTTGAGTGCCCGGAGGCATCCCATTCTGCCAGCAAGCCTTCTGCCCAATGGCCCTCACCTTTCCGCTCCATAAGCCAGGAAACCCACCACATTGTCTCCTGCTGCTCTCCTAGTGCTGCTGCCTCTGCAGCTGCCTTTTTCTCACCAGTGCTTTTCATGATCTCTCCTCTCTCTGATGTTACAGCTCTCTCTCTACTCAGTCTAAGAGAGTGCAGGGATCTCATGTCCAAAAGATGTCCTCCACTCCTGGCTCTTCTAGGAGGGGTCACTATGAGTCAGGTCCAACTCTATGGCAGTGGGTTTGGTTTGAAAAGAAAAGTTATTCAAGCAATATGATAAAAATAAATAGTCTGACAGAGCAATTTTAATTCATTAAGAGCAAATGGATTCGAAATGCTTTAGACTTTAGAAGAATCTTTTATTCACATACTAATTTAGCAGATATTTACTGTTGTTGTTATGTGCCATCGAGTTGGCCCCAACTCATAGCGACCCCTCCTTGGGTTTCCGAGGCAGTATCACTACGGAAGTAGAGTGCCCAATCTTCCTTCCGAAGAGTGGCTGATGGGTTTGAACTGCCAGCCTTCTGGTTAGCAGTCAAGTGCCTTAGGCACTATGCTACCAGAGCTCCTTACTGCTTACTAATTGCCACCCACTAGACACTAGATATAACAATAAACAGTGTAAAACTATAGACAGCACTTCCTATATTTTACATTATTCTGCTAATTAAAAGTAATGTAATCTGGAATGTAAATGGGAATCTAAAAAAAAACTGTGGACAACATTTTGTGACTTACAATAATAAAACTTTATATTTAACCAATTAAATTTCCTATCTTATAGTAATTAATTCTGGCCATATTCTAATCAAGTACTCTGAATTGATGGTAATATATTCTACATAATATTTTCTTTTTCCTTCATAAAAAGATTTTCAAGATTTGCTCATCTTAAAAAAATGTTATCAAGAAATTTTATTAAAATTGTAATTGTTTGTGTTTTATTTTTATTCATCAAGCTTGGTGTCATAAAAATGAAATATTAATTTTACTGATTTATCTGCCTTTTCTTCTTTACATTGAAGAAATATAAGATGCATATTGATCGAAACACTGGTATAATTGAAATGTTTATGGAAAAGCTACAGGATGAGGATGAGGGATCATATTCTTTCCAGATTCAAGATGGAAGAGCAACTGGCCATTCTACTCTTGTTCTCATTGGAGATGGTAAGAATCGGTAGCATATTAACTAGAAGACTTTGCTCCCCTCTTCCATGCAAATACTCCATGACACAAAGTGGTCATGTGAAAGGAAGTACAGATTATTTCTTAACTGAATTCTAATGTTCAAAATATAATTTTTAGTTTCTACTTTCCATAGAATCATAGAAATTAAACTTAATTGAAAAGGACACCAAGTTTATCCCTGGCCTACAGGCAAGACTTCATTTAAATGTTCTCATATATAAATATGTATTACTAAAATCCTCCAGTGAAGAGGAGGACTGTATACATGTCTCAGAAACAAACTGTGGTACTGTTTTATAATCACACTTACTGTAAAGTATTTAAATTGAGGAGGAAAACATGCAAAAGAGTGCAGGCCAAATCTATTAATCATACATTATAACTAGGCCGTAATAAGTCAGCTGCCGTAAGCCACTGTGGAAAACACAAAGATTTAATATGTGGCATTTGACAGAACAGTGTAGAGGCTGGTCAGATGTCTATAATTGCAACATCTGATTCCGTTTCACTATTTCCTAGCTTCATGACCTTGAACAAGTTACTTAGCCTTTTTAAGTATTTCTCCACCTATAAAGATTGAAAACTAGTGGGGCTGTTACACTGTTAGGGTGTTCTTTTAATGACTATAAATCGTTTAGCACAGTGTCTGGCATATACATTTATACTGCTCAACTCAATTTCATACTTCCTTGTTTTCAATTTCTAGTATATAAAAAGCTCCAGAAAGAAGCTGAATTCCAGCGGCAAGAATGGATCAGGAAACAAGGTAAAAAACAGGCAGTGAATAAAGAGAAAACTTCATTTTTTGAACAAAATATTTCAAGATATTTCTATAACAAATTTAAATGAATATAATAATATCTGTAAACATAAAACAATTGAAAATGTTTATGTATTAAACACGTTTCCATTTAAAAACAAATCTAGAATTTTTAAAATTGTATTTCAAATATAAAATACCTTACAAGTTAAGAAGGAACTTTGATTTTGCATTTGTGATTAATCAGGTGATTGCTGATGTCTTTTCAAATTTTATAGGTCCACATTTTGCTGAGTATTTGAGTTGGGAAGTGACTGGTGAATGCAACGTACTACTGAAATGCAAGGTAGGTGGTAGATGAATATTGAATATTAGGTTCAAGTGAAATAAGGATAGGCTAGAACTGTAGAGAAGGAAAGATCAATGTTTCATCTCCTCCATTTGCACCACTCTAATAAGCAACACATCCTTCCTGTTGAATGTTACCATAACATTTGTTGATAAGAAACATTTAAAATAAAACACAAAAACATGAAAAGAGAAGATGATCACTCCCATTTGCTACCTATGCACTAGTTAATGAGGACACAGGATCTTTTATTAATTATGACTCTCAGAAAAATCTCACTTGTCTTCATTTCAAGCCAAATCTGCATTGTAAGTGGTAGATCTATGCCAGAATCATTCTAGCTACAATATATTTCTGGGGAAATTAACAACTTCCTATCAATAGCTTTAGGAGCTCTGATGGCATAGTGCCTAAGGCATTTGACTGCTAACCTGAAGGCTGGCGGTTCAAACCCACCAGCCACTCCTTAGAAGGAAGGTTGGGCAATCTACTTTCGTAGTGATACTGCCTCGGAAACCCAAGGAGGGGTCGCTATGAGTGAGGAGTCAGCTCCAACTAGACAGCAGTGAGTTTGGTTTTAGTTTATCAATACTTTTGAGTGTCCCCCGGCCCTGCTACTGGTTGTAAAACACTGTGCTGCCTTGATAGAGGCTTAGTAAAGGGTTTGCAGCTCACAACCAATGGTCTTAACCGGCCTTTGGAAAATTTTAGAAAAAGAAAACTGTACCACATTCTAAACCATTTTGTACCTTAGCATATGGTGTTATCCTCAAAAAATATGTTAAATAAGGAACTTTTGGATGAGGTTGGAGTGTGAGGGTCATTATGCGTGACAGTGACTCAGAAACAGAAGCCTGGTTTGGTGTTTGGCATGCAGTTTTCATTACAAAAGCCAGAGCTCAAGTGCTCCAGTTTCTACTTCTTGCTGGTTGCTGTTGAGTCAGCCCCTGACTTACAGTCACCTCATGCACAATGCAGGACACAAATGGAAGAAAATGCTGCCCTGTCCAGTGCCAATCCCATGGCGAGCTGTGGGCCGGACCATTGTGATCTATAAAGTTTTCACTGGCTGATTTTTGGAAGTAGATCATCAGACCTTTCTTCCTAGTCCATCACAGTTTGGAAGCTTCGCTGAAACCCATTCAGCATCACAGCAACACTCAAGCCTCTATTGACAGATGGGTGGTGCCATGAGGTGCATTGGCTGAAATTCAAACTTGGGTCTCTCATGTGTAAAGCAAGAACTCTACTACTGAACCACCACTGCCTTCCCAGTCTCAACTAGATATTGTAAGTTCAAAGAAACAGCAGTCTATCAGAAATATATAAGAAAAATCAATTCTAGGTTTCAGGTTTCAGGAAACCATAGAAAATGGCAGTATGTTCTTAAGGCCCAATACAATATTAAAAGCCTGCTCAATCTTTCTCACAGCCTAACCACGGTTCTTCAAAAATCTTTCTTAGGCAGAAAAGAAATCTTTCTTGGGCACACTGATGTCAAGTCAGATCTGACTTATAGCAACATCTCCTTGGGTTTCAAAGGTAGTATCACTACAGTAGTAGACTGCCCAACCTTCCTTCCAAGGAGTAGCTGGTGGGTTTGAACCACCAGCCTTCTGGTTAGCAGTCAAGTGCCTTAGGCACTATACCACCAGAGCTCCCACTCAATGGCATCTGCTCTGTAAAGACTTCCCCTTCTCAATTTAAGTAGAATGAACACTCCTCTCTCCCTCTAGAGCTCTTTATTATTATGACAATTTATGTGTCACATTATGGGTGAATTTGTGCCACTAAACATTCAGATTCCCAATATTGCCATGGCCCTACTTAGCACTAATCTCAAAGGAATGAAAGACAGGAACCCCAGTTGTAGAAAATTCCTCCCACCCGGAATCTTCGCAGCAGTCAGTGAAGGAGTCCACGTAAGTGACAAGTCATGTGCAAGGAAACAAGATCACCATTGGGCAGGTACAGGAAGCTCTGTGGCTTAAAAAATCTGACACCCCAAGGATTCAACACCTCTTGTAACAACTCACTAGGCAGAGTTTCCAGAGCCAGGGGAAGAGAATTGCCCAAACCGTAAGAGTCAGTGAGCTCAGGGAAGCCCCAGGCTGTGAGGTCCACAACTAGTCTTTCCCAGTCCAGATGAAGCTTTCCAATCAGGGTCTTTTTTATCATGAGCCAACATTGCCTAGTAATACAGTAACTTTCTACAGTTCAGGAGCCAATTTACAGGGTTACAAAAAATGCTTACATGTATGGTTTCACTGCACAATTACCAGTGTTAGTTCTTCTTATGTTAATTTATGAGTTGAAAAATGTTAACACTTTAAAACTTGCATATCCTTGTTGATAATGACATTAAACATTTCTTCCTCTCATTTGTTGTATTTCCTTTTTGGGGAATTGGAATATACAGTTGCCCAAGTATTCAGTGGGGTCTTTGAGAGTGCTGGGATTTTTTTTTTTTCTTAATGAGGCCTTTACTTTTTCATATAACTTTAGTTATACAAGAAATACATGAATCTATTCTCCTTTGTAAAAAAAAAAAAAAAAAAAATTCCAGCATTTCAGATAAAGCTCAAGACCCCTCAACCATATAAAGTATTTTAATCCATTCAGAATTTATGCTATGATATGATGTGCAGAGGAGCTCTGGTGACGTAGTGCCTAAGACATTTGACTGCTAACCAGAAGGCTGGCGGTTCAAACCCACCAGCCACTCCTTGGAAGGAAGATGGGGTAATCTACTTCCATAGTGATACTGCCTCAGAAACCCAGGGAGGAGTCACTATGAGTCGGATCCAACTCGACAGCAGTGAGTTTGTTTGTTTTTTGTTTTGTTTTTTGATGTGCATATATAGGATTGGAATGAACTTCTCAAAATTGCTAAGAATTAGTTTATGGAACCATATTTCTTCTTCACATTCATTTGTAATGATTCCTTTATCTTTTATTAAATTCTTACATATAGATTGAGGCTTACTTATTCTGTCTTTTGATAAAGCCATTTGTTTTTATGACTCAGACTATATCTTGATCTGATGGGGTTTATCCTCCTTTTATTTTCAGATATTTATTTTTATCTGAGTGTTCATGTCAGTATATAGTACATATTCTTGCTTTTCCAATCTACTGCTGAAAATAGAGATGCTATTGACTTAGGTTTATTCAGTTATATCCACTTTGTCCTAAACTCTTCACTCAATAAAAATAGCTTTCAGCTAATTCCTTCAGAAAGCTCTATCTTCTACTCCAAGGTCAGTGCTTCTTCTGTAGTTTGCTGCACCAAGAACCATTCTGTTCTATGACAATAACATTTGCTTATTCAAGAAAGATAATTATGTTTTTTCTTGTAGGTGGCAAATATTAAGAAGGAAACGCTTATTGTGTGGTACAAAGATGAGAGAGAGATATCAGTGGATGAAAAACATGATTTTAAGGATGGTATATGCACCCTGCTTATAACAGAGGTAGGTGATAACAATGTGAAATGTAAAAGAGTTCTATACCCTGTTCTTCCAGAAAGCACAGACTAGATTCCATGTTTCTTTCTGTTCCTGAGATCCCAGCCCTTAACATCACCCTGCCACCACCAAAAAGAAAGAAAGAAAAAGCTACAGAGACATAAGAGCTTTTCTCACCTTGCCCAGATGTGTAGATTTCTCAGACATCCAACTCATATTGGCTGGACCCACAATTTCTGCTTTTCTTATATATGGGTGAGGGGCAGGGCAAAGTGGATCCTTCTTTGTTTGCACTTAAATCTCATGATAACTTGTTCCCTAATGATACAGAGACCGTCAGATATAATATTCATTTAAGTGCAGATTTTTATCCATTTTCTCTCTAAAAGAGCACAGCTTTCAAATATATGTGAACTTTTGTTTTTAATAAATAAAGACAGAGTGAAAGTTAAAGATGTTGAGCCTCAGATTGATCATAGCCTCAGAAGGTGTTTAAAAAATAAAATAAAAAAATCAACAGTGCTAGCCTGTCCATCTTGACCCAGTGCCAGCATCCCCTGTATGACTAGATACTCATTAAACATGTATTTTGATGGCAACTCCATAAATCACAGAGCCGTAGCATACAAATACCATACCCTGAGGCCATGATAAATTGCAATGTGGTATATCTATTCTCCACACAGTTTTCCAGGAAAGATGCTGGGATTTATGAAGTGATCCTGAAAGATGACCGAGGGAAAGATAAGAGCAGATTGAAGCTTGTGGATGAAGGTCAGTCCGCCAACTGCTGAGGTCCTTTTGTTTGTTCTATGCACACGTTAGGGGAGTTAGGTTTGTGGCTGGGCTGATGATGGATGTCGTGCTGATTTTTGGCCTGGAAATTTTGTGTTAATTGAAATTTCAGCAGAGTGAACTACTGCTTTATTCAAAATGTTTCTTTCTTTCTTTTTTTTTGTTCTTCCTAGAAACAAAAACTAAACTCAGAGAATTTATAGGCCATAGTCCAATAGGTGTCTGTTTTCAATTTAAATCATCATTTTTGTTTCAACTAGATAAAAATGTTCCAGGATTAAAAACATCTGTGAAAAGCATGTAGGAAAATAGTTCACTCTTAAAAGGTGGGAAGAAAGATTTAGATATGAAATTTGAAGCCTCACAGCTATTAGCAGAGCAAGAAAGCAATTTTCATTTCTCAGAGACTACTAACGACAAACATATACTAAAAACCAAACTCACTGCTGTAGAGTCGGATTCAACTCAGAGTGACCCCTCCTTGGGTTTCTGAGGCAGTATCATTACGGAAGTAGATTGCCCAACCTTCTTTCCAAGGAGTGGCCGGTGGGTTTGAACTCTGGTTAGCAGTCAAGTGCCTCAGTCACTACACCACCAGAGCTCCTTCCAGAGCATATAATGGTAATGAAAACCTACATGTGGCCCCCAAACTTCCAATTTTGTTCCTGGACGAAATTGTTTAACAATGTTTGATTTTGCCTTCCTACTCTTGGAGGCTTATTGGTAACACATTGTTAGAGGGAGGAAGACCAGGGAACTTAATGGCTAATTCATTATGAATTGATGACATAGATAAGAAACCTTCCTCTATGTAAACCTAGGCTTCCTGGGATTTAGGAAGAAAGAGAATCCTAAAGCCAATAACTTTCCTAGAAATCCCACTGTGGCTCTTTCCCTAGAATGTAAATACAATAATAGTTACAAAGAATCAGGGAAAAAGTAAATAAACAGGGATCTTTAAAAATTTGATTTAAAAACTTGAGTTGTTCCTTCAAATAGTACCTGTTATCAATTGGTCAACAAATTCACCTTGTGATCAATACTCAGCAGACAGGGAATTTTTGAAAGCACAATACTAACAATTTGAGATTTGACCTTACAGTGAACATTTTTATGCTAAATCTTTGTCTGTGAATCTCTGTCCACAGCCTTTAAAGAACTGATGACTGAAGTATGTAAGACAATCGGTAAGTCAGAATGTTCTCGTCACAACAGTGCTTCACTTTTCTCTTGCTGGGATAAACTTAAAGATGCACTGATGCACTGTGGTCCCTTTACAGCGTTGTCTGCTACAGACTTGAAGATCCAGAGCACTGCCGAGGGTATCCGGCTCTACTCCTTCGTTACCTACTACCTGGAGGATTTGAAAGTCAACTGGTCTCACAAGTACGTAAATGGGAATTTACTTGCAGTGTAGAAATTCTGAGGAGCTCTGTGGTGCAGTGCCTAAGGCATTTGACTGCTAATCAGAAGGCTGGCAGTTCAAACCCACCAGCCACTCCTCAGAAGGAAGGTTTGGCTATCTACTTCTGTAGTGATAGCACCTTGGGAACCCAAGGAGGGGTCGCTATGAGTCGGATATGACTCGACAGCAGTGTGTTTGGTTTTTTTGTTTTATAGAAATTTCTTTCTCCACAGGAGAAAAGAAATGGGGGAGAGGGGCTCTCTATTCTTCTCAGATATGACATCTCTGTCACTCATGGTTTCTCAGCACCTCAGGTTGAAGGGCACAAGACGTGATAATGTTAGCACTTTCCCTTAACACGCACAGTGTGAGGCCAAGGATGGCCATAGTACATCTTTCTTAAAAAGCTGATAAGTGTCATAATTTGCAGCCATCTTTATCCTCTAACCTCCACCTCCAGACAGGGTCATGCTTGGGCCATTCCTGCTTTGCTGGGCATCCAGAGCCAGATCACTATCTTTCTCTTATTATGTACAGCTAACACATGCTAGGGTCTGGAACAAGACTGAAGTACTGTGTACCAGGAGGCACCAAATTTCCCTTCATATGAATTAATCCAGAGGCGGGCTCAAGTTATTTGTACATTAATAAGCTCTGTTGGGCATTATGATGTTTCCTATATACTCACAAAAGACTTTGGACGCTCCAGATGACTTTGGAGATATGTTTTTGGACTGTTTCAATGATCAACCATTTTAGGAGGTAGCATATGATCAAGAACTGATGTTATTAGAGGAAGAAATCCAAGCTGCACTGAAGGAATTGGCAAAAAACAAGGCTCCAGGAACTGATGAAATACCTGCTGAGATGTTTGCACAAACAGATGCAATGCTGGGAGTGCTCACTAGCCTGTGACAAGAAATCTGGAAGACAGCTACCTGGCCAACCAACTTATATTTGTACCCATTCCAGAGAAAGGTGATTCATCAGAAAGTGGCAATTATCTAGCAATATCATACACGAGTAAAATATTACTGAAGATAATTTAAAAATGGTTGTAGTAGTACATCAACAAGGAATTAACAGAAATTCCAGCCAGATTCAGAAGAGGACTTGGGACCAGGGATATCACTGCTAATGTGAGATGGTCTTGACTAAAAGCAGAAAATATCAGAAAGATGTTTACATGTGTTTTATTGACTATGCAAAGGCATTCAACTGTGTGGATCATAACAAATTATGGATTACATTGCAAAAAATGGGAATTCCAGACCACTTACCTGTACTCATGAGGAACCTGTACATAGACCAAGAGGCAGTCAGTTGAACAGATACTGAGTAGTTTAAAATCAGGAAAAGTGTGTGTCAGGATTGTATCTTTTCACCATACTTATTCAATCTGTATGCTGAGCAAATATTCTGAGAAGCTGGAGTATGTGAAGAATATGGCATCAGGATTGGAGGAAGATTCATTAACAACCTGTGATAATGTAGATTACACAACCTTTGCTGAAAGCAAAGAGGACTTGAAGTACTTACTGATGAAGACCAAAGACTACAGCCTTCAGTATGGATTGCATATCAAACGTAAAGAAAACAAAAATCCTCACAACCAATAAGCAACATCATGATAAACAGAGTAAAGAGTGAAGTGGTCAAGGATTTCATTTTCTTGGATCCTAATCAACATCCATAGGAGCAGCAGAAAATGAAATCAAATGACGTAATACATCAGGCCTATCTACTGCAAAAGATCTCTTTAAAGTGTTAAAAAGCAAAGATGTCACCTTGAGGACTAAAATGTGCCTGACCCAAGCCATGATGTTTTCAGTCACCTCACATGCATATGAAAGCTGGACAATGAACTGGAAGACAGAAGATGAATTAATGTCTTTGAATTATGGTGTTGGCGAAGAATGTTCAATATACCATAGACTGTCAGTAGGATGATCGTATCTGTCTTGGAAGAAGTACACCCTAAATGCTTCTTGGAAGGGAGGGTGAGGGACTATGTCCCATGCAGTTTGGGCATGTTATCAGGAGGGACCAGTCCCTGGAGAAGCACATCAAGCTTGGTAAAGTAGAGGGTCAGTGAAAAAGAGGAAGACCCTCAATGAGCTGAACTGCACAGTGGCTACAACAATGGTCTAAACATAGAAATAATGGTGAGGATGGCACAGGACTGGGCAGTGTTTTGTTCTGTTGTACATGGGGTCACTATGAGTCTGAAGAGACTCAATGGTGTGTAACAACAACAACAACAATTTGGACTGGATTGGGCCTAAAGAGCTGCTGTAATCCCAAAACTACTTTTGTGGAGTCATGGAGGAATTCTATTCTAGTTCACTTCTGAGATTCCAAGAGTCTAAATAGGTCTCCAAGTCAAACCTGTCCTCTCATTTCAACTCTTGACAACGTCCTTAACTTCTGTGTTTCCTTGCAATTTTCTGAGCTGAAAGATAACAGAAGCCAAGCATACATGGTGGCATAGCCTTATCAGTCCAATCTTAGGATACAGTGAACACTCATTCCAAACTGCAAATTATTCTTCAAAGACCCACTGGGAAGTAGATCATTACAGCAGCACCAGCAGTATGCAGATTATAATGTATATTGCAGCTAGCATTTAGTGACATTTAAAATATGCCAGGCACTTCTGTAAACCCTTCAGATGTATGAAGTTATTTTTATTCACAACAACTCTATGACATAGGTACAACCTCACTTTAGTGATGAGTAAGTTGGGTCCAAGACTGAACCAGGCTGCCTGATACAAAAGCCCAGACTCGTTTGGCCCTGTTGTTGTTGTTGTTGTTATGTGCCGTCGAGTCGGCCCCGACTCATAGCGACCCCTCCTTGGGTTTCCGAGGCAGTATCACTACGGAAGTAGGATTGCCCAACCTTCCTTCCGAGGAGTGGCTGGTGGGTTTGAACCGCCAGCCTTCTGGTTAGCAGGCAAGTGTCTTAGCCACTATGCTACCAGAGCTCCCTCGTTTGGCCCTAGCATTTGTTTAAGTTGCCCTAAAAATCTAGATTGAACTAGGCCTGGGTCCCACAAACAATATTTTGTGTTTTCTTTAAAATTATTTTATTGTTATGTAGAACTGTGTTTATTATTATTATTCATTTCTTGAGTTTTGAAAATGAAGTCAAATCCCAGTGTAGAATGCTTAGGGTTTCTTTCCTTTGTTCTATTTCTTTCAGACTAATTTTAGGAAAGTAATTATAAGTTAAAATAGACCCAAATCTAGGAAATTTCCCTTGTGACATGTAGGACATTCTAATATATCAGTCTGGAGAATGAGAGGGATAAATTAGTTGGACCAGCAATCAAAAACTTTATATCCTCTCTAAAAGAATCATTCCACCATTCATCTGTCATTTTGTCATACTGTGGTGGCTTGCATGTTTCTGTGATGCTAGAAGCTATGCCATCAGTATTTCAAATACCAGCAGGGTCACCCATGGTAGATAAGTTTCAGCAGAGCTTCCAGAGTAAGACAGACTAGGAAGGAGGACTTAGTGATCTACTTCTGTAACCTTTGGCCTATGAAAACCTTATGAACAGCAGCAGGACATTGTCTGATACAGTGCAAGATGATGAGCTGTTCAGGTTGGAAGGCACTCAAAATACCACTGGAGAAGAGCTGCTTCCTCAAAGTAGAGTTAAACTTAATGACATGGGTGAAATAAAGCTCTCGAGACCTTCATTTGCTGATGTAGTGCAAATCAAAATGAGAAGAAACAGCTGCAAACATCCATTAATAATCAGAATGTGGAGTATACCAAATACAAATATAGAAAATTTGGAAGTCATTGAAAATGAAATGGAACATATAAAGATTAATACCTTGGCTTACCGAGCTGAAATGAACTTGTATTGGCCATTTGGAATTGAACAAACATATGTCAAATGAAACAAATTGAAGAGGAAATGCTTTGCGTTCATCATCAAAAAGAACATTTCAAGATCTACCCTGAAGTACAATGCTGTCAGTGATAGGATAATATACATGCGCCTACAAGGAAGACCAGGAGCTCTGGTAGCATACTGCCTAAGGCATTTGACTGCTAACCAGAAGGCTGGCGGTTCAAACCCACCAGCCACTCCTCAGAAGGAAAATGGGACAATCTACTTCCGTAGTGATACTGCCTCAGAAACCCAAGGAGGGGTTGCTATGAGTCAGGTCCAACTTGACGCACATAACAACAACACAAGGAAGACCAGTTAATGTGATTGTTATTCAAACTTCCTCACCAATTGTTTATGCCAAAGAGAAGAAATTAAAGATTTTTACTTCTGCACTCTGAAACTGATTGAACATGCAATCAAGGTGTATTGAGAATTACTGGTGATTGCACTGTGAAAACTGGAAATAAAGAACAAGGATTGGGAGCTGGAAAATATGGCCTTGGTGATACAAATGATGCTGGAGATTGCATGATAAAATTTTGCAAGACTAATGACTTATTCATTGCAAATACCTTTTACCTTTCTCAATAAGATAAATGAGGACTATACATGTGGACCTCTCCAGATGGAATAAAAAAAAAAAAAATTCACTGTCGCCAAGTCATTTGACTCATAGCAACCCCTCCTCGGGTTTCCAAAGCGGTATCTCCACGGAAGTAGATTGCCCAATCTTCCTTCAGAGGAGTGGCTGGTGGGTTTGAACTGCCAATCTTCTGGTTAGCAGTCAAATGCCTTAGGCATTATGACACCAGATGGAATATATGGAAATCAAATCATCTACATCTGTGGAAAGAGACAATGGAAAAGCTCAATATCATCAGTCACAACAAGGCCAGGGGCCAACTGTGGAACAGACCATCAATTGCTCATATGCAAGTTTAAGTTGAAGCTGAAGAAAACTAAAACAAGTCCACAAGAGCCAAAGTATGACCTTGACTATATCCCACCTGAATTTAGAGACCATTTCAAGAACAGATTTGACCCAATGAACTCTAATGACTAAAGAGCAGTTGAGTTGTGGGATAATATCAAGCACATCACACATGAAGAAAGCAAAAGGTTATTAAAAAGACAGGAGAGAAAGAAAAGACCAAAATGCATGTCAGAAGAGACTCTGGAACTAGTTCTTGAATGTAGAATAGTGAAAGTGAATGGAAGAAATGGTAAAGTAAAAGACCTGAACAGAAGATTTCAAAGGGCAACTCGGGAAGACAAAGTAAAGTATTGTAATGAAACAAGCAAAGACCTGGAGTTAGAAAACCAAAAGGGAAGAACATGGTTGGCATTTCTCAAGGTGAAAGAACTGAACTAAAAATCCAAGCCTCAAGTTACAATATTGAAAAAGTTTATAGGCAAAACATTGAAGAACACAATAAGCATCAAAAAAAAAAAAAAAAAAGGAAGGAATACACAGTCACTATACCAAAAAGAATTGGTTAGGAGGTAGCATATAATCAAGAATCAATGGTAACTGAAGGAAGAAGTCCAAGCTGCACTGAAGGAATTGATGAAAAACAAGGCTCCAGGAATTGAGGTATTTCAACATATGGATGCAATACTAGAAGCACTCACTCATTTATACTAAGAAATTTGGAAGACAGCTACCTGGCCAACCAATAGGAAGAGATCCATATTTGTGCCCATTCCAAAGAAAGGTGATACAACACAATGTATAAATTATTTAACACTATCAGCAATATCACACTTAAGTAAAATTTTGCTGAAGATAATTCAAAAACAGTTGCAGTAGTATATTGAAAGCGAACTGCCAGAATATTAAGCCAGATTTAGAAGAGAGTGTGGAATGAGGGATATCATTGCTGATGGCAGATGGATATCTTGGCTGAGAGCAGAGACTGCCAGAAAGATGTTCACCTGTGTTTTATCGACTACTCAAAGGCTTTCAATATTGTAGATCATAACAAATAATGAATAACATTGTGAAGAATGGGAATTCCAGAACGCTTAATTGTGCTCATGTGAAACAGACCAAGGGGCAGTCTTTTGAACAGAACAAGGGATACTGCATTTTAAAATCAGGAAAGGTCTGTGTCAGGGTTGTGTCTTTTTAACATACTTATTCACTCTGTATCCTAAGCAAATAATTCGAGAAATTGGGCTATATGAATGATGTGGCATCAAGATTTGAGGAAGACACGTTAACAACCTGCAGTATGCAGATGATACAATCTTGCTTGCTGAAAGCAAAGGCAATTTGAAGCACTTAAAAAGACTATTCCCTTCATTGTGGATTACACATCAACATAAAGAAAACAAAATTCTTCACAACTGGACCAACACATAACATCATGATAAATGGGGAATATGTTGAAATTATCAAGTACATCATTTTACTCAGACACATAATCTATGCTCATGGAAGCAATAGTCAAGAAATCGAATGACATACTGCATTGAGCAAATCTTCTGCAAAAGACCTCTTTTAAAAAGTAAAGATGTCACCTTGAGGACTAAGATTTGCCTGACTCAAGTCATAGCATTTTTAGCTGGGCAATGAATAAGGAAGACTGAAGAAGAATTGATGCATTTGAGTTATGGTATTGGCAAACAATATTAAAAATGCCATGGACTGCCAGAAGAAATGAACAAGTCTGTCTTGGAAGAAGTACAGACAGAATGCTCAAGAAGGAGAATGGCTAAACTTCGTCTCACATGCTTTGGACACGACCAGTCCCTGGAGAAGGACATCATGCTTGATAAAGTAGAGGGTAAGCGAAAAAGAAGAAGGCCCTCAGGGAGAAGGATTGATACAGTGGCTACAACAACAGGCTTAAATATAGCAACGAGCGTGACAATGTCGCCAGGACCTGCAAGTATCTTGTTCTTTTGTACATATGGTCATTATGAGTAGGAACCAACTCAACAACATGTCACAAAACAACAACAATAAAGAATTATTTATTCAAAAAACACAGAACATTGAAAATATACTCTGATGAAATGGATATTATAAATGTCCTCAGTTACTTGGTTCAATCAGCTAAAGGAGTTATTGTGTGTTTATGTGTCTGTGGAAAATTCAGGAATTAATGGATTGTCTTCACTTTCTTTATGTAGGTGTGTGGTGTAATGGGGAAAACCTGGAAATGAGTTTCAGCCTTGACTTTGCTCCTAGATTCTATGTGATCTTAGGCTAGTCACTTAATTTTCTGAACCTTAGTTTTCTCTCATATATAATAAGAATGGTAATACCTGCTCTATCCAAAAAGATTAACAAATCCAATGAGATAGTGAAAATGAAGGTGTTTTGTAAACCATAAAGTACTTTACAAATGGAAGCCATGTTAGCCAGAGGGAAATAATTTAAATGAATTTATTATAGCAAATCAGAGAGTTATCTGTCCTTCTCTCTAACGCTACAAGACATACATAGTCCAAAGTCTACAGGGTACAGATGGGTTCCTTTACTCTACTTTTTATGGCATTTTAATTTTAATATCTTTTAAAGACTGAAATCATAATAAAATGTTAAAGACATATTTGAAAGTAAAATGTTACTTGCTTTTTGGCGGAGAATTTTGTTTTCCTATTTTTTAATGTTCATTTTGGGTATTCCAATTAGAAACATAATACATGCTTGTTTTAAAAATATGTTTATAATAACATATTACAAAAAAGAAAGAATTTATAATATAATCTTATCCATAGTTTTATGAGCTTTGTTACAAACATTTTGGAGTACTTCCTTCCAGACTTTTCTCTATGCATGACTGTGACTATGTAATAGTGTAGCTAGTGTAGTTTTATATAGTGCTTTTTTCTTCACAGTTTTACAAAGGTTTTTTGATATCACTCAGAGTTTATCCATTTACTTTTTTCTTATTTCATTTAGAACAGCAGCATCTCTGGACTGTGAGATCACAAAACAGAGTTATACTTTCTATTGATTCTCCTGCAGAAAATATAATGCATGGGTCTTCTCATGAAATATTGAAAAATACATTCAGGGACACAGGATGTGCCTCATTCATTCTGGCAGCAACTCTGCTTTTCACTTATTTTTGGCTCTTTACCTTGTTCATATTTACATGTGTTTTAAATAGCCTGTAATCAAGCATGTGCATGTAAATAGATGTCAGGCACAGATGGAGGCACAGGCCTCCTTAATTGTGTTTTGACCAGCTTATTAAAGCTGATATATAACCATAGATCATCTGTGTTCAATAAAGTATTGTTTGGCCTTTTGGTTTTAAAGATTCCCTCAGTGCTATAAATAAACTCAAGCAAAAAACAAGATAATTAATACTGCAGAGAAGTGTTGGCTTGCCCTCTGCTCTGGTCTCTAGACTGCTATAGGGAATTAAATGTTATGTTTAATATCATACTATCAGTGCTCCAGGCCTTGACTCCTGAGCTTTGAAATCCAGGTTCAATTTCTCTGAAGCAGAGGAATAACATATGTGGATTCCATATTATTTGAAAGTCTGTAAAACTTTATGGCAAGACCTTCAAGAACAGACAAAATGAAGATCAGCTTCAGATGAAAGCAAACACTAATGATGTCTTCTTTGATTTTAACAGTGGAACTGCTATTATGTACTCAGATAGAGTTAAGAGTGGGGTCACTGGAGAACAGATCTGGTTACAAATCAATGAGCCGACTCCCAATGACAAAGGGAAATATGTAATGGAGCTCTTTGATGGCAAAACTGGACACCAGAAGACAATAGATCTTTCTGGACAAGGTAAGTGATATTCTGCAGATTAGAACTTACTATAAAGTAAGTCTGAAAAATAATGAAGGGTGAAAAGAGAGCAATAATGATGATTGAAAGGTCACTGGTGACTTTGATGGTGCGGTGTTATGTCCACAGTGGTGATAGAAGTCTGAATGCAGTGATTAGAGAAACAGTGGAAAGTAAGGTAGGGACAGTAGGCATGCACCGCTCTTCCACAAAGGGGATTCCAAACAAGGGCAGACAGATTTATATTCACTAGAAAGAGTATTATTTCTAGTGTACAGACACTGAAGAGGAGTATTTCTATGGTGAATGAAATTTGAACATCTTTATAGAGTCCAAGAAGTCCATTGAGTTGGAAGGACCATGGATGTGAATGAAGGGAAATAATTTGGGTATCAAAGTTCTGAAGAGTGAAAGGTTTACGATCAAGAGCATAGGGGCGATGTTGACTTTGGAAAGGGGCAGGGATAGCTCTTCTTCAGAAACTGGAATATGGGGATCACTATAAGTTGATTCTGACTCATAGTGACCCCCATTTCGGTTTCTGAGACTGTAAATCTTTACAGAGTAGATCACCCTGTCTTCCTTCCATGGAGCAGCTGGTGAGTTTTAACTGCTGACCTTCCAGTTAGCAGTCAAGTGTCTTATCACTGTGCCACCAGAGCTCCTTTTACTAGAATATAGTATATGTGAAAAAACAAAGACAGTACAAAGGAGTACAGAAGAAAATGGGAGAAATTGGATCCTGAAGGCCTCAGACTTTTGGTTATCTGCTAAGAGAGTGAGGGGTTCTGGACAGAATCAGGAAACAGAAAAGAGAACAATGAGAGGTGCGTATAATAAGTTTCCATAGGAGAACGAAGACAGAAAGTGAAAACAGTATGCCACTTCTTTCCCCCTCTGTGCTCTTCACCTTATTATTTCCTAAAGACATAAAATAGTCTATAAAGAATACTGAAAGGATACTGAAGATACCCTGGTCTGCCGGAAGAATAAATAAATCTGTCCTGGAAGAAATGCAGCTGAATGCTCCTTAGAAGCCAGAATGGCCAGACTTCCTCTCACCTACTTTGGTCGTGTTGTCAGAAGGGACCATTCCCTGTAGAAGGGTATCATACTTGGTCAGTGAAGAAGGGGAAGACCCTCAACAAAATGGATTGACACAGTGCTACAGTGATGGGCTGAAGCGTAGCAAGGAGGGTGAGGATGGAGCAGTGCTGGGCAGTGTTTCGTTCTGCTGCACATAGGGTCACTATGAGTCAGAGCCGACTCAACGGCACCTAGCAACAACAGCATAGTAAGTTACTAAAGGAGGCAATGGACTTTCTCCCCCACGTCTTCAATATCTAGATATGCAGTAACTCTTAGTAGTTTTTTGATCATCAGAGAATATATTCCTAATTTAGAGAGCAGCCTTTCAACCCTGAATTCCGTTGTTTTGTGCTTAGTCTCTTGCTCTCACCCCCACCCACCCATTATGACTGGAAAGACTCACTGAAGGATCCGGACAGTAGGCAAGATTGTTTGCTCCACAGGGTACCGGCTCCTTAGGCCAATCACATTCGGACAATGACAAGGGCTTCTTCTGCAGTCCCTCTGACCAGTTGAAACATATTAGAAAAAGGGAGAGAATACATGGGTTGGTAAATTTTATTTTTACTATTTATTTTTACCCTCTGGCCCATCAAAGCTTATTTAACTCTCAAATCATCCTTAGGTAAAAGTCTGTGGTTGGCTTCGCAGTGTCTCTGCTGCGGTCAAAGGCAGGCAGGCTCGGCTGTGCACGTCCTTTTCTCGATGTGATGGGGTGGGGGAAGGAAGAGCACTGAGTTCCCGGCCTGATTTACACCGATTGGTTCATCCCTTCCCTCACAGATGAGAAAAAATGAGAACCAGAGACTTTAATTCTGACTTCATGTTTATGTTTCTCATCTCATCAAATGAGGGGGATGGACTCATCTTAACCACGTGTTTTGTATACTTAAACTGTTATGAGTCCTACACCACAGAGGAGCTTAAATATAGATGAGAGCTTTAAAATGAAGCTGCCATTTTGCCTGAAGTTTTCAGTCAAAGTAGCTTATTCCGTTGTTGTTGTTATGTCACATCGAGTCAGACCTGACTCCTTGGGAGGCAGTTTCACTATGGAAGTAGATTGCCCAACCTTCCTTCCCAGGAATGGCTGATGGGTTTGAACCGCCAGCCTTCTGGTTAGCAGTCAAGTGCGTTAGGCATTACGCCATCAGTTGTTGTTGTTGCTATGTGTGCCCAGTCGGACTGACTCGTAGCAACCCCTCCTTGGTTTTCCGAGGCAGTATCACTACGGAAGTAGATTGCCCCATCTTCCTTCCAAGGAGTGGCTGGTGGGTTTGAACCTCCAGCCTTCTGGTTAGCAGTCAAGTGACCTAGCCACTATGCTACCAGAGCTCCCCTATGCAAAAACAATTTTCTTTAGAACCATATAGCCCCCATTTCCAAAACTCACTTTTCTTTTATCTTATCTTTATCATGGCTTAAGAAGCATTGCTCCCGGCAGGCTATGGTCCACCCTGCAGTTACAGTGCTGATTGTGCCCTTTTGCCCAAATGCACAGGCCAGACAAGGTAGTTGGGGACATTTACCCATCTAGCTAGTGGGCTGTGACGCCTGGGATAACTTAATAAGAGAAAACACTTGTTTGCTGACCAGGATGCTTATTAGACAACCAACTGTTCTTTGAAACAGACTTTTTTCTATTTTATCTTTAGGAGAGCCAATTTCTGCTTTTCTGTGTGAAGGCTTGAAGGTCTCTTGATAACCTAAAAGCTTGTAAAATCTACCATATTGCATTACCTACCCAGAAATCATAAGTTCTTCTTGAGTATGTAAAGCAGGCTTTGTCTGGTCTAGCCCAATCACAATTAACTCAGACTGTGAATTATAAATCAGCCCCTGTGTGTCATCAACTTTGTGTGAGAAAACTCTAACTTGTCTTTTTTCTTTTAAAGCATATGATGAAGCCTTTGCTGAATTCGAGAGGTTAAAGTAAGTCCTTTTCTTAGCAAAAGTCACTTAAGTACACTAACTTCTCTGGAACATGGTGTGCTGCTCCCTGGTCTGAGAGTTAGAGAGGGCCTTTTATTCCAGCAAGTACACTCAAAACAATACTTCCCACTGTTAGAATTTGCAGCAGCAAGATGTTTCTGAGGCAATGAAATGCAGTCAAGGTTAACTACTTTGAATTAACACTACATTCTTCTTTGTGTGTTTGTTTGTTTCTGTCAACCACAGACAAGCTGCCATTGCAGAGAAAAGTAAGTAAATCAGTAAATCACGTTGCCATTTACCCAGTATAGCTTCAAAATGGAACTTTTCTTTTATATTAATACAACAGATGGAGAAAAGTGAAAGTTTTTTTTTTCTTTTCTTTTGCTTCTTTTTCAAAATAATAGGTGCTCTACATATGTTTTCATTTAGTCTCTTGAGTCAGAATGTCTATGAAAAGAGAGCCTCAGGTTACACTATAAGAATGTCACACACCTCTTGACTTGTGCTACCAACCAGACATCCTGAGAAATCTCTTGGCTGGAGATCATACAACAGGTTTTGAATCACTTGCAGGCACAATGTATCAGGAAAAAGAAAAAAAAAAATTATATAAATTAAAGAAAAAAAAATTGAGAAACATTATAAATTTGACATCAGGTAAATCATTGTAACTTCTCTCACAAAAAGTAATTCCAGATGTTGCTGAAAGCCCCTGGAAAAGAAAGGAAGCTCAGTAAGGCTGTTATTACTTGCATTTAACTAGACACCGTCTCAGTCAAAGACTACTTTCTGTCAAGTCCGAGTACCCAGAAGTGTGCTTACCCGTCCACAGACTTTCATCTATTAACCGTTAGCTTCACAAACAGGACGTTTAGAAGACCTCAACCAATATTGCCAGACCTGAGTTTCATAATTCAGTTTCTCTCCCATTGTGGGAGCCAGAATTTGAAAATTGTTGAGGATTAAAGCTGTAACGTTAACCCTGAGTTGAGATCAAAGGGAACTTGGAGGAATAAGAATAAAGCCATCCTTCCACTTTCTAGTGGCTCTAAGTCATTCAGGAATGGGATTTTAACCCCTCCTGTCTCCTCTGTCCTCTTGTGGCTCCTCCCATGGGTTTGTGATGCCAGTGCCAAGGGTGAAAGTATGACCAGGAGTGGATCAGAGCAAGAGGGAAGTGTTGATCTCTTTTCGGTCTCCAGTACATCCCTCCTGCTCTTGTCAGCACCGAGCAAGCCAAGTCCACAAGCATTTGAGGACCTTGCCAATTCTTGAATTCTCTTGGGGGCACAGAAACTCCCTCCAGCTCATGACCCATTTCCTACTCAATGGATCATAGCAGCACAGAGTCTGAGGAGACCTTAGAGATCTTCTTGCTCAGTGTTTTCAGACTTTCTGAGCCTTGGCACACTTAATTCATCGTTGGCCTTTTCAGTCTTGCAGGCTCTGAGTGTCCTTGGGGTTGCTGGAAAGCAGAATGTGTTCTTAAGCCCCAGAAATCTGTGAGAGCGCTGTCTCTTTAAATATCCAAAATAGTCCAAGTTGCTTTTTAAACCTTCAAAATGGCGGCGTCCTCCGGACCGGCAAAAGTCCACAGCTCAACACACCTTTCACTTCACTTTCTCTGTTTGTTCCCCAGCCACTGTGCACAGTCCATGCAGTCCCTGGCTAGCAGCGTGATTTTTAGGTTAATTCTTAAGTCCTACAACCACAGGAATCTGCTAGAGCACTGTCTCTTTAAATATCCAAAATAGTCAAGCCACTTTTTAAACCTTCAAAATGGCGGCACCCTCCGGACCGGCAAAAGTCC